TACTGACCTATTAACAATTATAACCCTAGTTAGGCTTTTTTCTTCCCCATTACTGAACAAGGATTATGATACCTGGCAACCGGATTATTGATTGACCTTGCTAATGGACATTATCCATTTCAGGGTTAGTCTCCCACTCTACAACCACTCATTAGAGTCTCACAGCACAAAATCAAATCCTATGACAACCCTTCCAGCCTTTTGCTAGTGGGATTTGACAAGGGAGAATTTATGTAAGTGTACAACTGACAGTTCATGTTGTATCTTGCTCCATACCAAATATTGCATTTGGAACTGTAAATGAAGTACTGTAAAGGCAAGAAAGGTGTTTCCCTTGCTCTCTTAAGTGTTCTCAGTTTTACTTGGCTAACAGAAGCAAAAATGCACAGATTTAATATGAGATAAATAGAAAATACATTCTTATGGAGAGAGAAAGGGGAGTAATTAATATTCTTGAGAGCAAGGAGATAGACTTGAATGCTCTCTTTGAAAGATGACTGATATCAATTTAAAAATGTGGATATAATTTGTATAAAGAAAGGGCAAGTCAGCATGTCCTGCGATGCTGGTACAGACTTGGCAGTACTTTTTATCCTAGCTCTCTGGGAGGCTGAAACAGGAGATTTCCAAGTTCAAGCCAGTTTAAGGAACTTAGCAAGATATTTTCTGAGAGAGAGAGAGAGAGAGAGAGAGAGAGAGGGAGGTATGGAGGGAGAAAGAGAGGGAAAGGGAGGAGGGATGGAGGGAGAGTCTTAGAGGCAAAGGAATGTCACTCAGTATGAAGGCCTTGAGTTCAATTTCCAGTGTCAGAAAAAAAAAATTGACAGGTAAGTTTTATGTCCAAATAAACATAGGTATGACCGTTAAAACGTGGAAGAAGTTTAGTAGAATGTATGGCAGGAGAACAGATGTATTATGAGAAGTAAGGTGAAATGGCAAACACAAATGTAGAAAAGGTTAACTGTATGATTCAGTACCATCAGACCATGTTATTATAACACAACATTGGGAATATAACCGGTTAAATTACTTTCTAGGGAAAGGGTAGACTTTACTTGATAGCATGGATGTCCATATTTTTGGCTTACCAGGGCCACATTGAGTAAAGGGGAACTATCTTGGGCCACATATAAAATATTTAATGTAGTTTATCTGTATAGATCAAAACTCTTAAAATGATGTTTATTACAATGTTAAGAAAAGAAGGCAACCTAAATGTAAAACTAGCGGGATATGTGACCTTATTTTTGTGTAACAAAGGTGTTAATATTCGTCTCATTGAATTAAGTTGCTATTCTGATCGTTCTCCTAGTGCTCGTCAGAAATTTAACTCTTTTTGAAAGTAGTTGTTCACAAAAACACTACTCTGAGCTGCAGAGCAGGAGACGTCACTGTAGCAGTGCCCTGCAGCCTCCCCTACCCGGCCTTCCACTGCCATCTCTGCATAAGTCAGGAAAAATACCACTGAAGAGCACATAATAATGTTAAAAATTTATGACCATGTGGAGCCCTGTTACTAGTTATGTTGGGACACATGTGTGCTTCGGACATCCCTGGTTTAGCGGAAAAGGGTAATAATTCAAGTTTTTAAAGATGGTAAGAGCAGTAGGGCAATAAGCACTATAATTCAGCGTACAAGTTACAAATTATAGCAGAGATACTGAAGTGAATACAAAGGATTACATATAAGGCATTGAGAGAAAGTATGTGTGATGGGTTGTGTCTACATATAATGCAAAGTGAAAAGAAATTGAAAGTTTTGAGCCAGCACGATTTGGAGAAAAGTCAGATAGCAAGTGTGACACAGAACTGGATAATGAACAGTCTTGGTAGAAAGAGCAACTTTCTCTTTTGATCTGCTAAAAATGAATTGCTTGGAGACTTGTGCCTGAAGCTTAAGAGAACACCTCAGATCTATAGGTAAGAAATGGAGAGTCACCTGTTTAATTACTAGTGGTGGATAGGACTTGTATACACAACATGACTTTAAATATCCTAATTTTTTTAAAGCTTGTCCCACAGCTTCACATCTCTTCATCTAATTCATGTGTAGGCCTTTAAGTCCTTATTTTGATGTCATCTGCTTCTAAATCTCCTTGCTTTCACTTTTTATTAATATGTCCTTAGGAGTTAGCCTGGGCTGTTTTTGTTTGTGTGTCTACATCTTTTCTCCCTTCCAGAAAAAAATAGCTCCAACAAATTCAGCACCTCCCCGGTCCTCTATGCAATACACATTCACCTTCCATGTGGTCATTTTCTTTCTAGATTTTTTTTTCACAATTCCCTGGAAGAAATAAGAGCCCTTTAGATGACATCTTGTGTTTTGAAGTGTCTCTGCATTGTCACTCTGAAAATTGGACTTTTGTCTTCTGATCCATTCTAGTGGCCAGCAAGATTAGAAGCCAAGAACATAGCTTTCAAAATCATGTAACTTTTAGCATAAGTACGTATTTGATATAAGTGATTGAACCACCATATATCCTGAAATGAAAATTTGAAAGTGAAAGTGCATCACAACATATTAAGAGAATAGTTTAGCACTAATTTGTTTTGATTACAGTAGGTGCCAATCATCAGATATCACTCAACTCCAATCTTGGTGTTTACAGTGTGTTCTGCCTATTTCATAACCTACTCAATTTTGGGCTTCTTTTGTGTCATACAATTGAAAAATTTTTGTTGCACTCAAATATTAGTACAGCGGTACCTCAGTTCATGAAGATGGCTGTGTTTGTGTTTGTGTGCGGGATACAGCCACAGTGTGCTTGTCATTCGACGTGGAGTTTATGAACCGAAGCAAAATTTTATTGAACTCTTCGTTTGAGAACCAAAATGTTTGTGCTCAGATACATTTGTGAACAAAGGTATTTAACATTTTAAAATTTATATTAAATGTTTTTAAAACAATATATTTTAAATTAAAATGTCTTCTTTCATTATTGTTTACAATTTGATATCTTTATAATTGAATTCCTTATGGATTTGTTGAATTTACCCACTGAGCAATTTATGAACACATCAATCCTCTATTGTTTGCGATTCATTGGTAGAAGCAGAAATAGCACAGGAGGAAGTGGAGACGAAAGAAACTGCTCAAGGCAAAGGTAAATTCATATCACCAGACAGTGAGATTAAGATATAAAATACATATAAAAAATTTGAATCACAAAAAGACGGTAATTGAAAGAAGAAAGGCGAATACGAAAAATATTTGTATACAAAAAAAGAAAATACAGACACTAATTAAAACTTCACAGTTTCTATTTAAAATGTAGAAAGCTGGGAAACATGTTTGCTTGCACTTTTTAAAAATGTTTTTTGAAACAGGGTCTTGCTTTGGAGTGCAGGCTGGCCTTGAGTTCACTTTGTAGAGCAGCCTGGCCTGGAACTTGCAGCAATCTACTTACCTCAGTCTCCCAAGTGCTAAGATTACAGCTCTATACCACCCACCAATACCCAGCTGCTTTTACTCTTAAAAGAAGAAAATAAAAGGTGGACAAAGTGAGAATTAATTTTTTTTGTCTTGTCAAGAGCTAAAATTGGAGGGGAACAATTAACCTGAAATTTAAGAGATTAGTGGTTAATTACTTTTCATTTGTGAGAAGTTTGCCATTGTGTGGATATATCAGGTGTTGATTCACAATTTGATTTTTTTTCCAGTTTGGGTAAATTATGAATAAAGTTGTTACAATAACTAATATACAAAATTTGCAATCAGCTTCTCCATATTTAGTTGCTGTGATTTTAATTTAAATTATATTCAGTAAATAGATTTGATTGTGAAGAATCTATAGCGTACTGGTAGTGAGTTTTCTAATGCATGAGAATGATACTTCTTCATTCTTTTATATCACAGTTGACATATTTCATTTATATTTTTAAGTTTTCAGAATAGATATCCTGCTTATATTTTGTAAGATTTAGGCCCATGTCTCCTTTTAGTGCTATTGTAAATGATTATGTATTATCCATTTATATGTGTGTCTACAGTTTCGTTTTAGTTCCCTATGGCTCATTGCTATTGTACAGGAACTTGGTTGACTTTTGTGTTCTGGCCTCATATCCTGTGACTTTGCTATACTCCTCTTTTGTTTCTAGGAGATTTTGAAAGATTTAATGGAAATTTTGCATGTACAATTATATCATGCAAGGGTAGAGAACAAATTACTTATGTTATATTACATTAAATTTAGTTTCCTGCCCATGGAGGCCATTCTCATATTATTCTCATATATTTTCATGTTACAGGAAATTCTTTATACCTCCGCTGTGACTAATGATAACTGAGGCATGTAGTCCTTTATATTTTCTCTTATAGTCACATTCAGGTTGCCTCAAAAGTGAATTTCTCTATTTTGCACGACCACCATGTTTTACAGTATATTTTTTTGAAAAGACAGTGACAGATTGAATATAGAACTTCACCAGTGACTATTTCAGTGTCAAATTGGACTCTATGACTACAAAGCTGCAAAAATATTTGACGAAAATTGCTTATGTAGCTCTCTCAATAGCCTTATGGGCAGATAACTTTCTTAATAATTTGTAGAGAACGAGATGTAGGCCTAAATAAAAGCACTGTACATTCTAAAATTACTAATTCAGTCCATCCAGAAAGTTTTGATTTATCAACTCAGATGTGGTTATAAAATGATTTTTTATAAATTAGTGAAAGTTTTAATAAATTGATAAATAAAATTTAATTTAATTTTTAATTACTTATCCATTTATCTCTTTGTTCATGTTTTCTTTTTCTAGGTTTCATCAGTCCTTCAACCACAGGGTTAATATCAAGCCACAAGGGTAACTTTTATTAATCATTAATTTTTACTAAAATATACTCTCCTAAACATTAGTTTCTGCAAATGTTTTACAAATCCTAGCTTTCAAATATGTTCACAGAATGAGCCACAAGTTATTAGAACAGTGTCCAAATAATGAAAATACAGTTTTGAAAAGAGGAAAATCATTGAAATAACTCCTATGCTCTTAAGATAGTTACTAATTTCTAGAAATCAAAGACAGAAGAGTTATTAATTAACTTGTATTCACAGAGTGGGGTACTTATACAAAGAACTTTCAGATTAAGACTCTTAACACTTACATATTGAGTACAAGGATATTGAATGTTGATAGGTTAATGAGGGTGCAATAAAACTTTATGAGTAGGCCAATATATACCTGAGCAATTTTTCCTGGTCATTACCAGCCTCACACAACCCTGCTGCAACACAGCAAATAGAACAGGCTATGAAATAAGGTAAGAGCACACATCCTATTACTTTGTTATTTCATGTTCCAATTGAATCAGTTTTGCTTGTTTAACATTAGCAGTATTTGTCTGTCTGCATGTTTAAAATTGTCCAACAGTGTTTTAAATTGCCAATTTATATCTGTAATCCTTTGCACTAATGTCATAGAAAATAATTCCAATTTCTCAGAGATGAGAAAGTATTTTCTTTTCCAAGTCTCCATTACATTTTTTTCTCAAACATAGGTGGAATCATAGTAAGTTTGTAAAGAAGAAAATCAGATTAAAAATTGTTTTGACAAAGTAAGAGGATACTTCAGCTAAGTATGATAAAATATATCTTAAGAATGTATAGGCCAGATTTATAAGATTTTTGATGTTTTAGCACAAGTTTTTTCCCTCACATTGAGTTTATTGGTACATTTTAGGGATACAGTACAGTTACATTCATTGTTGGGATCTTGTATCTCTACATGACAGGTCTTGGTTCTCATTTTTTCCCCTTGTCCCTGCCCTCCCTTCACCCCTCCTCCCCTTCCCCTTTACAAACACTTCATGAAGTGTTTGAAGCACAACTTTTAAATATCACTTATCACTACAATCTAATAAAATACTTATTTTCATAAAAACTGTCAGTATGCAGTTTCTCCAAGAATTTTTTCTTTCAGTTACTGTAAGATGTGATCACTGGAATTACCACCTATAAAATATAAATAATTTCAGAACTTCATATTCTGGGTAGTTATATGAATAAATTAATATATTTTGATTTCTGGATAAAGAAGGATTTGTGTCATAGCAATGTGCATTTTGCTGCTTCCCTTTACAAAATAAATTGCACAATTGTGCTGTTGTCTTCATGACAAAAATGTACAATATTGCTTTACATAGGACATATTCAAAGTTACACAGTTGTATTTCAGCACAACATCGAACAGTTTGCTTTATTATTTTACAAACTTCTTATATCATCTATTGCTTCAATTAAGTTTAGCATGCTAAGTGTAGTTTCTTTGAATAATGCTGATGCAATTAACATTTAAGCCACAAGAAATGAATGATACATTCAAATTGAAAATTTATTTTCAAATATTTATTCATAGGGTATAATTATTGACAAAGCTGGTGCTTATGTGGTATTAGTCTCTGAACTATTTTCATAATTTTCACTATTAAAAATGTAATAATTGGCTGGGGATATAGCTCAGTGGCGCTGTGCCTGCAGGACAAATGCAAGGTTCTGTGTTCAATTCCAGATACAGGACAAGAAAAAGAATATAAAAATATAATAGAAGCAATTAACATAGCATACATAACTTAATAGATATGTTATGTGTTATTGCAAAAAGCACAAAGGGTAGATTAATTCTGCCTCCAAGAGCACCAGTGTGTTCACAGAAACCAGGACATTTGACTGAGACATTAATTAGAACTCACACAAAAAAGTAGATGAGCAGAGATTGAAGGTTTCACCAGCACATAAGAAAGGGACACATTATCCAAAAGATATGTTGCAGTTTTAGGGGTTAGATGAAGATATAATTATGAAAATATTTCAGAGATAAAACAAAAAGGACTTATATAATTGAATGTGGTAGAAAAATATAGGAGAGATAAAAATTTTGTTTAGGTTCAATTAGGTACAAGAATCAACAGTTATAGGTGGAGAGACCACAGTGAACCAAACCAAACAAACAAGATTTTGTTTTTTGATTTTATTTGAGTTTTTGAGACAAGATCTTACTATGAGATTCAGGCTAGACTTGAACTCATTATTTATTTCACTCTGGCCTCCAACTCATGGTGATCCTTCTGCCTCAGCCTCATGGAAATTCTAATTTTGACCTGGACATATCATAGAAAATCTATGGAAAGTTGAATGCTAGGAAAAAGCATGGGAACACATGTTCAAAATTAAGTTAAACAAGATCAGATAATGGCCAGAAAAGAATAAATTGCTAACCCACATATATGAATTTTCTGTATATTACCTCAAATACATAATGTTACAAAAAAGCAATATATGAGCAGGACATTGAATGACACAAAAATTGGAATCCCATCACTTAAGAGGGCTAATGGAGGAGGAAGATTGCAATTTGAGCTCAGTCTGGGCAACTTAGTGATTTAGTGAAACTCATTTTTAAGTTACAAAAAAAAAAAAAGTAGAAATTTAGTTCAATGGGAAGGCTCTGGATTCAATTCTAAGTACCAAAACCAGAAAATTTTACTGATATGAGTGCTTGGTATACTTTGTTATTTAGGGGAAGAACTTGTCAATCATATAGTTTGAAACATTCTAAATGTAACAGCTTTCACATATATACTGCACATATACATATGTGTAGATTCTTTTACAAAAAAAAATATTGTCATATTAAAGTATTGAATGACGCAGATATGAGTCAGAGTGGAAAGTGGATTATTTTGCTTTGAAGTATTCTCTTTCATCTGGAAGTTCCTAATTGGTAAAGTGTATTAAATAAGAATATCTCCTTCATAGTATTAAAATTTTTGAAAATTAAAGAATGTAGTGCAAGTGGAAGGTTGACCTGAAAAATGATTTACAATAGGAGGGCAGGACACATCGGCTTGGAAATATTTTTTCCCTGTATTTCTAAGTGTACTGTAATGTACATCATTAATTTGTTCCTTTGATTCAAGTTGCACATATTTTTTACATTTTCATTGTGTAACAGTTTAGATTTTAAACTGATAAAGCCACAACTCTGCATCAAGATTAGCAAAGCAAAATGTCTGTAATTTTATGATAATGCTATACTATAGCTGTTGATTGTACAGTTTAAACACAAATTCCTTTCTTTTTTTAGATGGCAAAGAAGAAATTTAGTGGACTAGAAATCTTTCTGATTGTCCTGTTTGTCATAGTTACAATAATAGCTATTGCCCTCGTTGCTATTTTGGCAACTAAAACACCTGCTGTTGATGGTAAGTAGCAGTAAGAAGTTTTATAAACTATAATGAAATTTTAAAAGTTATTCATAATATTCATGGAATTAAAGATAAGTTTTGAGACATTTAGCAAGTGAAGAAAGATCCAGTCAGTGACACAAATGGTCCAACTTTTTGTACCCTTTATGTTCTGGTTATGTCAATGAAAAAGTATTGTAACTAAGGAATTCATGTGCTTTGCCCTTAATAGACTTTTACACTTAAATTACTGTGAAAAGAGAAAATGGTTTTAAATTGAAGGTGTCAATTCAAGGTTGAATCATTGCCTACTCTTCTCATGACACTCTCATTCATAAGGAAATGTAGGTTTTGCTCTGGTCCTTAGAAATTTTCCATGGTGAGTGAACTAATGTGGCAAATGTTCTCCTTATCTTGGTTCAAAAATTTTTTTTAAGAGAAAGAGATTGAATGACAACAGAGAATTGGAAGGAGGATGAGTCCAGACTTGAAGTGCTTAATGATATTTTTCTGCATATTTTATCCTAAGTTAGAGTTGCTGTGTATTACTATTGACCAAATCCCTTCTCTTTCATCATTTTCTACCTACCAAATAGGAACTGAAAAGGATATTTCACGTTACATTCAAACCTAAGTGTAGCTAGACATCCCTATTGCTGTTATTTTCTTACTTTCCTTCAGTAACTGACCAGTCACTATACTGTGAAACGTGCAGTTATTATGACAAACATATGATTGCTAAAATGTTTTTCCTTATGTAAAGGTGAATTTATTTTTTCTACCTTGTTCCTGGCCTTTGATCTTACCCAATTAGTCTCTTCAAGCCACCTTCTTTTTCCAGTTTCTCTTGGTTAGTTCATTTATTCTTCTCTGCACCCTGTCTGATTCCACTTTTCTCCATCTTCTTTTTTCATCTGTAAATCACAGATTGGAAATACTCAGTGAATGTACACTATGTTTCTCTTTTAATCTATGATAGAACCTTCTTTGCTTAAGGAAACAGCCAATGAAGTTCCAGACTGTTATGAAATTTTATGTTCTAATTGCTAGTGCTTAAAAAAGATTTTATAAAATTTTACCTTTTAACTGTAATTTACTTTTCAGTGAAAATTTAAATTTCACACAATGAGATAAAAATAGCTACTAAAGAAAAACAAAGAACCAATTAAATAGCTGCTTTTATATTCTTAAGATACTTCTTAATATCTAGAATTTGAAGTCTGCAGCACTTCAAAATACTTGGATCTTTCACTTTTAAGGGATTGAACTTTGGGATTTAAAAAAAAAAAAGATGTGTTTTTCTTTTCTTTTTTTTTTTTCTCATCGAGTTTATTGGTACATTTCAGGTATACAGTACAGTTACATTCATCATTGGGATCTTGTACCTTTACATGACAGGTCTTGGTTCTCATTTTTTCCCTTTGTCCCTGCCCTCCCTTCACCCCCTTCTCCCTTCCCCATTTACAAGCACTTTATTTCTATTTTTTCATATATTTCCCTTTACTACCTTTCCCCTACCCTTCCCACTTTCCCTACACCATTAGCCCCTTTCTTCCTATTTCACATGGTCAACTATCTCATTAGGATCTTATGTACTATTACAGTTTATTCACACCAGAGAAACTATTCGGTATTTACACATGTTTGACTTATTTCACTTAGGAATATGTCCTCAATATGTATCCATTTTCCTATGAATGAATCCAATTTCTCATTCTTTATGGCTGAGTAGTATTCCATTTTATAGAAAAACCACATCTTCTTTTCCCAGTCTCTAACTGATGGTCAAATGGGCTGTTTCCAAATTTTAGCTATTACAAACTGTGCTGCTATAAACATAGGTGTGCATACATCACTGTGATATGATTCTTTTAATTCTTTTCAAAAGACACCCAGCAGAGGGATGGCTGGGTCATAAATTCAAGTATTCTTTCACTAAAATCTACACAATACATTACAAGCCTGGGAAATATTAAATATGTTTTATTTAACTATTTTCCTCCCCTAGAAGTGAGCCCTACTACTTCAACTCCCGCTGGTTCAGGAAAATGTCCAGCTGACATAAATGACCCCGTCAATGAGAGAATAAACTGTATTCCAGACCAATTTCCAACACAGGTCAGTAAAAGCATTCCTTACAACCTTTATGAATATATAAGTAATGATATTAAGATAATTGCTTGCTAGTGCATACTTCTACATTGTTAAAGATCTAGACATAAATTAGGTGAAATATATTTTTATTGTAGTTTGGAATAGATAATAGACAATTGAAGTTATTGACCTTGATTTTCTGTACCTCTCTTCAATTCATATTAATAAGTTAATATTCATCTATGCTTAACAAGTTATTTTTAATATTGTAAAACTTCATGCAATTCTGACATTTCATATCTACTCTTTAAAAAACAACCTTTTGACATACAGAACATTTGAGTGAGAATATATATTTTCATTTAGCATGTTTATAATGATCCCATTAAATAGAGTCTGTAGCAATTAACACATTTCAATTTTTTTTTTTTTTTTGACAATCAGGAGAGAAGAAGCACAATGGAGAAAATTAAGGGTGGCTGACTGGATTAATGTAACCCTAAGTGACTTATTATTCATAAAACTGTATGAGAATAAAGGTTAATGGATGAGTGCGTGTATGTGTGTGTACGTATATAACATATATGCAAGATATGAATATGTCTTGTGTATTTACATTTTGCAAAATCTATAGCATGCATGTCTAAATCTTGCCTCTTCTAATCTCCACCACCTTATGCAACATAAAAAGGACTATAAAATTGCTATTAGTTCTAGCATAATTTTGTTACATCACAGTTAGCAACTAATTTTCAAGTTAATTCTCCAAAGAAATTGCAAGTAGATGCAATGTTCCTTCTGGAAACTTTAGAAATAGCAAGATTTTTAGCCTACCCAATCATTAAAAAAAAGATAGATAACAGTATCTACTGACACACTAACAGAAATGGCTATGTATTGCTTTTAGTCAATATTCTCCTCAAGAAATGACTGAAGGATAATTCATTGAAAATAATATGAGTTCCAAGGGTCTCATGAGGAAGTAATACCTAATAGTGAGTAGTTTAGAATACTCATGCTTATGATTGGTCTTTATTATTCTGACCTGTTAGGTTGCTAAAGAATGTTCTCAGTGTGAAACAAAATTATACATGAAATAAGTTAGGCTTTAGCATATGTATTTACTTTGCCATTTCAGAAAATAAAGTGAACTTATTTTCAAATTTATCATAACACATCTCAAATGAATCACTTTTGTTCAGTACTAGATATCACAACTACAGCCTTATGCATATTAGGCAAGCATTATAATACTGAGCTACATGCTCAGCTCTGAAATGTGTTGTCTTGATATTTTAACTAAGAAAACTGGAATTCATTAAAATATTTTTGATGAACTTTTGGTACTAAACTCTCATTCATTAAATTTTAGATATATAGAAACTTGGAGAACTTTTCAAGACTAAATGAATGTCAGTGTCGTTCTCCTGCTAGATGAGAAGTAAGGCTAGAATCAAAACTGGCTTGCAAAGTTCTGTTAGCTCATAGTCTGTGAACACAATATTTACTATCCATTAAGCAGAATCTTGTAATTTTCCATGATTCATTTTATGGAAGTAATATTTTTGTACTATAAAAGTTGATTAAAAACAAACGATGAAAAGAAAAATAAAATCTGCATAGAAATTTAGAAAAAAAAATCCAGGGTAATATTTTCTGTTTTACTCCTTTAGGATATTTGCAAATTTCAAATGAGAATTTTATTTAAACTTTTGCTCATGTTTTAAAAAATTTGCTGTACAGTTATATAACTTCACAAATATGTTTTTCATTTATATCTTGGAAAATTCTTTAAAATAGTTTAAGTAGTAATTTTCCATCATTGCAAGTGATCAGATAAAAGTGATTTATTATCTTAATACATACCTACTTAAAATTCTAAGAAGGAAAATCTTACCACTTAAATAAATATTATGTGGTCCAAACACACTGGTTGATATTTAATTTGTTTTTAAAGGATAATTTAAAAATATTTTCCTTAAGTTTTAAATACAATGATTCTTCCATGTGTGTATAGATAGATAGATAGATTAAGATTGAAAAAACTCAAAATGATTGATTATACTAAACTTTTATGTGCAAGTTGTTTTTTTGAAAATTAATTTTATTGGTACATTTATGGTATACAATATAATGACATCATTACAACTTTTTTAATTAGAAAAGGCATGGATATGTATTGAATTATTGGTAAGAAAAGATAGAATATATAATCAGAATAGAAATTATAAAAACAGTTACTACTCCACCCTAATTTCTTTACCTCAGTTCAGTTCATTACAAAAACATATGAGAGACTGGGTAACTTAAACCCATTTATTTTCTCATGTAGTTCTAGAGGTTAAAAACCAGAACGAAGGTGCCATCAGAATTTGATTTTACTCCTGGCTTGTAAAACTTTGCTTATTGTATCATCACACAGTATTTTTTTTGCATGCTGAGAGGCAGGAAAACTCCTGGTTTAAATTTCTCTTTTATGAAGACACTGCACCTATTGGACTATAGCCCCATTTTATGACCTTATTTAAATTTAACTATTGTCTTAAGATCCCTACCTCCAAATCTAGTCATACTGGTGGTTAGATGTTCAAATTCAATATATGAATTTGAGAGGATTATAATTCACTTTATACAATTAGCCAACCCAAGATGTGCTGTTGTATGTATTAACCTGTAATTTTACTACTATATATGTATGCAGTCATGCACAACTATAATGAATAATACAACATATTGATTGCATTTTTACCTACTACAGTTTAAACTATACTTAATGTGTTTTAATTTTGTGGTTTTTCAATGGAAGCATGAAGTCAAATGAGGAATGAAAATTATTGTTGAAAGCTAAAATTCTGAAAAATAAGAATAATAACTATACCAGTTAATCTTAATTGTCAACTTGACTAGATTAAGAGATTCCCGGAGAGGTTATTGGATCATGATGGTATTATGTTGATTAGTGGCATTGATATGCATTCTAAATGTGCTGTTAAAAAGTGGGGACCATGTGGAGGTGAGTAGCAGGGTGTGCTCCTTTGGAAGATATAATTATGGCTGGTGTTCTCCCCCTTTGTCTTGATTACCAGACATGAGGTAAGTAGCATTGCCTCACAATACACCCACTGTAATATTTTTGTCTTTGAGACTCCCAATAATGGATTGAACCCATGAAACTGTGAGCTGTTAAACCTGTCCTTTAAGTTGCAGATGTTAGATATTTTGTTCAGCAATGAGAGAACAGTCCACTGTAGACAGTTGATACAGGAGAAGTTGAGTCATGACTGTGACTACACCTGATCATATGTTTCACAAGCCATCAAAAATGGTTTCCAGGAAGAATTTGAAATGGTTTATAGATGCAGGCTAGAAGCTTTAGGCTCTTTTAAACAGAGTTTGATGGATCATTCTGATCAGAGCTCAGGAGACCAGAATGTTGATCAAAATGCCAACATTTAAGGCCAGGCTCATTAGGTTTCAGATAGGAATAGGGGCTCTATTAGGAATGGGACTAGAGGCCAAATGTGTTACACTATGAAAAAAAAGTTTATATTTTGCCAATACCCTGAGACTTTGGGGGAAGCTGGCTTAATGGCAGTGGACTAATTGATCTAGTAGAGAAAACTGAGCTGTTGTATATGTATTACTTATATTTTAAGCAGATTTACAGCAAGAATTAGAATATAAAAGCCAAAAGATTTGAAAAATTTTGGCTTGAAAGAATCTACTGCAAATCCGGGGCCAGTGTGTATTTGTTGAAGAGATTAGTAACATTAAAAAGACACTAAGTACTTTTAACCTAGCCAGAAGAAAGGTGTCTTAAGGGCATTTGGAAATTGGCAAGACTCCACCTATTACAGGGTCATAGTTCCAAAACTGTGAACTTTTCATTTGAGAAGAGAGCTTCTAGGCCCTATGCCAGAGAAGGACTACTTCAGGAATTAATTCTTCAGGACTAATTTCAGTGTACTCAGCCATTTGGTCACTCAGAGGACACAGTAGTTATATTCCAAGGGTGCTTGGCTACTTGCTCAAACTGGTGGCAGATCTTGGTATCATCCTTGAGATGCAGTTTTACAGACGTGCAGAATACAGAAGCTATGGGATTATAGAGGCTATAGAGCTATGGGGCTTTACAAATTTTAAAAGAAGGCCTTGGAAGCCAGACACTGTGCCCATGAGATGGAATGTCTGAAGCTGTGGGAATGAATCTGAAGATATAGTGGAGAACCCAGGAAGTCAGTGATCTCAGAAACAGAAATGTGCCAAAATCAGCGGGAAGCAAGGGGAACCACCCCAAGAAAGAACACACACAGGCTGCAACTGCCATGACCGTGGGTGTGGGGCTGTCCAAGCTGTCTGGAACCCTGTTTCTCGGTTGGCAGTCCTAGAGTTACAGAAATTATTGTTTGCCTTTCTAGAATTTTGGTCTTGCTTTGGTCCAATTCTTTTCTTTGTTCACCTTTCTCCATTTTAGAATGGGAATCTTAACTCTGTGCCATTTAACCCTGAGGGTATGCTTTATTTTTATTTTTATGTAGGTGTTTAGTGTAAAGTTTGCCTCATGTCAGAGGAGTCTTTGAGTTGTATTTTTGAGCAATGCTGGAACTTTTGAGACTTTGAGGAAAGGCTTAATTCATACTCACTTCTGTGCACAATAGCTGTATCATGTCAAGTGGAATTACTAAGCTCTTATTGCATTTATTTGGAATTAAGGATGGTTTAAGGAGATATGGTTAAGTATTATTCCAAGGGTTAGACTTGTGCCAGTTAATCTTAATTGTCAACTTGACTAGATTAAGAGGCTCCTAGAGAGGTGACTGGATCAATGGGGTATTGTACTGATTTATAGTTTAATGTGTTATTAGAAAGTGGGCCTCCATTGGAGGTGGATCCCTAGTGGTTTGGCTTAGGAATGTATGTCTCTCACTGGCAATCTTTCACTGTGCTCTTCTTTGTGGCCATCATGAAATTAGCACATTCACTTCACCATATCCTTCTGTCATGATGCTTCTGTCTTGTGTCCAGCCGACCATGAACCAAAGCTCTGAAATCTTTAGTCAAATTAAATCTGCCTGCCTTAGGTTGTATGTGTAAGACATTATGTCTCAGCCACAGAAAAATTGATCAAGATAACAACTAAACCTACATAAATACCAAAATTTCCATAAAATAAACTAAAACTAATAACGTTTTAAAAGCAGTAAAACGATATACAGTTTAAAACTAATACTTTGGTTTCTGTATGTAGTGAATTACATTATGTCTTCCAAAGAAATTCATGCCCACCTGAATCCTCAGAATGAGACTTTATTTGGAAATTGAATTTTTGCAGATATAATTAGTAAAGGTGAAGTTTACTGGATTATGAAGTGGCACAGACCTAGTCACTGGTGCTTCTATAAAAGAAGAGGGTTATATACAGACAGACAGAGAAGCAAGCCATATCATGGAAGCAGAGATTGGAATAACGACCTATAACCCAAAGAATGCCAAAGTTTGCCAGGAGATGTTAGAATCTATGCATAGATAAGGGAAAACTCTTTTCTAAAACTTTCAGAGGCTACGTGACTTTCCTAATAACTTGAGTTAGGATTTCTAGCTTCTAGAACTATTGCTTTAATCCATCTTTTTCCATGATTGTTATAGCAGCCCTAGCAAATTAATAATGTGCATTTTAAGAAAATTAATGTAAATTTATTTTACTGTGTTTTAGTTTGTCAAAATGTGATTATACTGTGCTTGTTTTGTCTTGTTTTTTTAAATTTTTATGTCTTTCCAAATCATTATATTTATATCTAATTCTACCATTTATTTTGTACTAATATTTTTTATCCACTTCAGAAAGCACTGTAAATTATAATTTTTGTATAATGTCTTTGAATTAATGGAATTTTTTTATAGGTAAACTAGTAGCATAATTCTCTGCATAAAAGTGACACATACTTTGGGTTCTCCTAGGTTTCTGCACTCTAGAATGGTCAGATTCAATTGTGCTGGTGTTTGTATGGTATATGTATGTATGTATGCATGTAGTTATGGGAGCTATGTATGTGCATTTAAAGCTATTTTTATTCAAAGTGAAAATAAGAGAGAGGTTAAGATAAAAAAATTAAGATGTGTTATACACGTATGTTACAATTACATACTGCACACATGCACTAATAAAAACATTTTTAGAAGGTACTTTATTTGGCTTAATATGGTACTTTTAACTTATTTTTATGTTATATAATAACATATTATAATTGTACAGATAAGGGTCAGGGATTTAGCTCAGTGGTTCCAGCGCCTGACTCGCAGGTGCAAGGACCCAAGTTCTATCCCTGGTACCAAAAAAAAAAAACAACTATAATATAATTCTACAGATAATAAAATTATGAAAATGTGACATGATGCTAAATTTTAGTATTAAGCAGATTTTTAATAATGCATTTTACTACTTAGTATCACCATGTTGCTCAACTTTTACATAGGCATTTATGATTTTCCCTTATACATAATCTTTCTATATAGATAATTGAATTTCTGAGAACTAAGAATTTTATTTTGTTTATTGAATGCATTTGCAGTTATTAGTTGTGACATTTGGCTTATAAACAAGCTAAAGAGGTAAAATAGCTGATAAACTAATAAATAGCTTAAATATTGATCTTAAACATTTTATGTGGAATTTAATACAGATGTGTGTTTTGTCTTGATAACATCACCAGAATCTCGAGGTATGCTAAGTAGAAAATAATCATTTCAAGTCTTCATGAACCCCTTGACAAGAAAGTGAATTATAATTGCCCAGAGGGAAGGAACTCCAAAAACATGAGCTTAAAATACTATGTATAGAAACATTCATTTGATAAAGCAAAACTCAGAGAATAAATATCTGATGTCCTGTAACTAATTCAATTCATCCACTGTTTTTATATCTTTCCAGTGAAAGGGATAAAAAATGACATTTTACCATTTTATATATTTGAAGATATAAACATCCAGTTTTTGGAAAAAAAGCACCTAGCTCATTTGACAATAATACTGATCAAACTCTTCATTTAAAATATTTTGTCAGGCCATGTGTGCACAGCGAGGCTGCTGCTGGAAGCCATGGAATAACTCTGTTGTTCCTTGGTGCTTCTTCCTAGACAATCATGGCTACAATGTGGCTGAAAGGAAAGCAACAAATACTGGTAAGGACTGTTTTGTCACGATAAAATAGATTTAGAAGTTCTCTTTCAAAAAATACCTAAAATAGAATTAAATATGAAGTTTGTACATCAACATGTTTAAATTGTTCAGTATAAAGATACTTAACCAGTGCATCTTTCTAAATAAATTAACTCCTGTCTGCTTTCTTTTCCTGGTTGAAGGACTTGAAGTCAGTTTGAATAGAGTACCTTCTCCTACCCTCTTTGGAAATGACATTAACAGTGTACTCCTCACAACTGAAAATCAGACACCCAATCGTTTCCGGTTTAAGGTTTGGTTTTTGATATTTCTAAAGATTTAAAAATAAAGCTAATCTCATGATCATATTCTTTGGCCTATTAGCATATTTTCCTTCTTCAGAAATATTTTTTAAAGCAAAAGTGTAGTTGCTGTACTTATTACACTTAAATCCATTTGCAGAATGCAGTGTAGAAATATTGATAGCTTTGGTCACGATTAGTTTGACAAATTTAAATTATAGAGCCCATACAAAGTATTTAGGAAACTGTCTTAAGGAGGGTAAACATTGAATGACTGTTAGTATTTTTTTTTTTGTTTTGACTATAGGCTATGATGGAGTACTTGCTTAAAATTTAATTTGGGAAAAATATTACTAGTGCCATAAGAATGTAACTTATATTCACTACGTATTTTACTCTGTCACTTTATTGCTTTATTTTATTTATGTTTTTTATCTTGTGGTACTGGGTATGGAACACAGGACCTTCACACTGAGTTAAATCCACAGCGCTTTTGGTAGTTTTTAATCTTGGGACAGGGTCTTGTAAATCGCTGAGTCGCCCATGCTGGGCTTGAATTTGGGATTCTTCTATCTCAGACTCCCAGAATGCTGGGATTACAGGTGTGCACCACTACACTTGGCACATTCCTTGATTTTGAAAAAAAATAATCTCTACTGCTTTTTAGCATGTAATTTAGTGATATCTTTTTTTCTTTTAAAATCTGGAGATGAAAAGTTATTTGCATACTTTCATTTTACCCACAGCTTCATAGAAATTGAGACTTTTTAAATATTTATTCACTTTTGCAATGCTGGGGTGATTTTGGGCAAGTGATCAACCCAGAGTCACACCTCCAGTCCTGAAATATTTAAAATAAAATTTAAAATCCCTGTGGTACTAAAGTGAAGAGAAATAAAAAGCACTAAGAATAATTACATTCATAAACATCTACTATTCAATAATCAATATTGCTCACTGTTATCATTGAATTTTTATCAGTCCATAAAAGTTTTTACTTGATTTTATTTACAAAACTTTAAAAAGTAATTATTTTTATTTCTTAACAATTTATATTGTTTACCTGTGCACAACCACTCATTAATCATGAACAGCTCCTGTATAAGTTCACTAAATCTATTATTTTCTATTTGAATTTGCATTTCATAATTCAAAAATTTTAGATGAAATAAAGAAGCTAATTTATTTAAATCTGCAGATTACTGATCCAAATAATAGAAGATATGAAGTTCCTCATCAGTTTGTACAGGAACATACTGGACCAGCAGCTTCTGAAGCTTTGTATGATGTGCAGGTCACAGAAAATCCTTTCAGCATCAAAGTTATCAGGAAAAGCAACAGCAAAACTCTGTAAGCAGGAATTTTATTTTACAATCACACAAATGTAAATAGCCAATCCATTTTATTCTGTTTTTATATTATAAGCATATCTAACGATCACTTATCACACAGAATAACATTTTTCTGATGAGAAAGTTGTTGCAAAACTTTGTAAGGATAATGATGATTAAACGATCCTATTTCCTACTCAGGAAAGGCACTGAAAGATGAACGTGAAAATACCAATTGAGGTGAACTAAATGTGAAGGTGGAGAGACTCACTGACATAATTATAGCCTTGGCTATATTTTTGTGAATGTAGACTTGCTACTGTATGTTGTCCTTGTTATTTATCATATTGTGCTTCCAATTTGTAGTATTAAATGCTTAATATTCAATAATGTGTTAACAAATGGTAAAATTAAAACATTTTTACACATATAAATTAAATCTAGGCTGAACATTTTCATTCAGAATCTGTCAGCTGGATAGTAGAAGCCATAGGTGAAAGGAATTTAGGAATTCCTTGGGGGAGCAATGCTCTTGCATTCCCAAGAATGTTAATTAAGCAATAGTCAAAATTAATACTATAAATAATCAAAATGGTCAAAATCAAATTATATTCTTTGAAAGTAATTTACTACTTTTGGAACTGACTCTGTGCCATATGATAAAAAGACAACCTTGCATATTGACCTAGAAAAATCAAAATGAGAAGTTAGAATGGTAGTTAGGGATCAAGTTTCCACCTGGGGAAGTACTAGTTCTGAATGAATCATAGGGACATTTTGGTCAAACAGTTAGACAGGAGAATACATTTTCAAAATTTGTTGCACACGAGTTAAGGTAATAATAGTTTCATGTATATTTCAAAATTTCTAAAAGAATAGACTCTAAATTTTTACACCATACAAAATTATGTATGGAGTGATAATTATGTTAAGTGGGTTGATTTAGTCATTCAATAACATATATCAAAGCATCACATTACCCTTCGTAAATATCCTTCATAAAATTATAATTTTCCAACCATCAAAAAATATTAAATGCAAGAAATGGCATTTAAAATTTCATGTAGTAGAGAATTTGTCTGCATAAAATATACAACCATTTTCCTTTTGGGAAAAAATGATATGTAAGTCGCTTTTAGTATACATAGTAGAGGTGTGAAAGCCAGTATAATTTATTATAAAACTGAGTTTCCAGAACAAGGCAGATATCGAAAACTGGCTCTTTTTTTCTGCTAGTTGTGACCTTTGAAAACCTGATTTTATTCTTTCAAAATGTGTTATCTATAAAATGGGTAAATAATTGAATCTTTGTGATGAAGAATAAAGGAGAGAATGCATGTGAAAAATTATATTCATGATCATGAAGAAAATTATACTAATTAATGAATAAATTTTGATTATGGTATAATTTGCATTTTCCTAAAATGTAACCACATATAAACCCTGACATCTTTGAAATTAAATATTCTGTATGATGATAACATAAACACATATTTGATGGAATATTTTAATGTTTCTACATCACTTATTTCTTTATTTCTTGGCTCAGATTTGATACCAGCATTGGTCCTTTGGTGTACTCTGATCAATACTTACAGATTTCAACCAGACTTCCCAGTGAATATATGTATGGTATTGGGGAACATATTCATAAGAGATTTCGCCATGATTTGTATTGGAAAACATGGCCCATCTTTACACGAGATGAGCTTCCTGGTGATGTAAGAAATTATTTTTCTTGTTTTAGATGAAATCATTATGTTGGATTAAATTGCCTATTTCAAACTCCTGTTGCTTAATTGTTACCAGTTAAATTATCTGGCCACCAGTGATACCTAATGCAGAAGCTTGTTTACTTTAATGGTGAAAATTCATAGTTAGATCCTAAATTTAATTGCTAACAGATTTTATGAATGTATGAATAGGTGTAACCTGTTCATGGATGTTTTCCTTTGGTTTTTAACTTTCATAATTCATTATTCCTTTTACAATAACCTTTATATTTAAACTCATTAAGCTAGAAAAATTTCAAGTACCATTTATTTTTTATGATACAGTGTATTCCTATGTTTGGACATCACCTCATCCATCTTTGTGCACCTCTTTCTAATATATGGTAATCTTTTTTAGTTTCAAATTTTTGCAAAGGAGTTGATTTTCTTTCTGAAGCTTGAGGTAGTTTATCATTCACAAAATATATCATTGAAGGCATATATGAACTCTATTACCATAATATAAATTGTGTTATATATCTTATGTTCATGTGAAATTACTAATGAAAAAATATACTCTTTGTTACTATATTATATATATATATATATATATATAT